CACTACCTATTGCGGTTTCTGGATCGCGTGGCAGGATTTTCTGATGCAGTTGGATCACTCCTACAGGGGTCAGGCTGAGTAGCTCTTGTTGCACTCAGTAAGCCACTACTGCATTTTTACCCATTTTGGACTGAGTATTGTTACTAATAATTTTTGTTATTATTACTAATTCTTTTTTAATTCACCCTATGAATTTCTTTTTTTGTCCCTCCCCTATTTCACAGGGGAGGGGGAGTTTGGAGGGAGGTAATCAACTGGCTACGTGATGATTGGGTACCATCTGAGTTAAAACCACAGCAGATTTTGGTGCCCAACGTGGGGCCTGAGGTTTGAGATAACAATAGAATGGATAATAATGTTGGTTGCTTGGCTCCTTAAGATTTTATCACCTCATATGCAATATGTATTTCCCATGCTTTTGCTCACAGTCCCTGAGAGTTGGGTTAAGATTTTGTTTCTGTTGTACTATATGATGCTCATCTATGATAGGGTGCAGTCATCAGCCCTGGGCTATTTACGATTGTGTTTGAGAAATTCAGGAATTTCAAATATCCTTGGAATGTTGACATTAACATGGTCATCTTACTGCTAGGAGTTGGTGTTTTTCTGCACATTGCTAAAAGTTTTGTTCAGGGTTAATCAACTATTTAAGAGTATCTCCTGGAAATCTACCCCAAGGTTGGAGCATTATGAGTGGCTGGGGCTGTGGAGTAACATGGGCAAGTACCTAGAACAGCAGGCACCTCTAGTGTAACTTCACTCTTGCACAGGTACAGAATCCTGAGGAACTAGTAAAATACTTGGAAAAAAAAATTGCCATCTGGGTAATTCCACAGAGGCACAGCTCAGTGCAACATGCTGGGGTGTAACCCATGCTTACCAAGCACTATTAAACATTGTTCAGCACCCTCAAGAGGAAGAGAAGGGATCTGGATCTGGTAACCAAGTAACAGAAACTGCAGCCACTACAACCCCGAGGACAGGTGCTGCAGCTGGACCAGAGAACCAACCCATGACGGTGTCAGTTGCTCCCATGCAGAAGAAGAAATACACCAGAAAATCCCCTCACAGTGTACAGGGTGATGATGTACCAGGCCCATCATGAGAACAGGAGGAGGAGGAGGAGGATGCAGAGCCAGTGAGAGTCACCCAATACTTACCCCTGAGTGAGCTGTGAGACATGTGAAAAGATTTCAGCTGCCATCCAGGTGAGCAACTCATCACCTGGCTGCCCAGGTGCTGGGATAGTGGGGCCAATGGCATGGAATTAGAGTGTAGGGAGGTCAGGCAGCTGGGATCCCTGTCTAGGGAAGGGGGCATCGACAAAGCCATTGGGAAGGAGACACAAAATCTCAGTCTCCGGAGGTGGCTTCTGTCAACTGTGAGGGAGAGGTATCCCTTCAAGGAAGATTTTGTGTGTCATCCAAGTAAGTGAACCACTATGGAGAGAGGTGTTCAGTACTTGAGGGAGTTAGCTGTGCAGGAGATGTCTTATTATGACCCAGATAATGCACAGCTACCCACAGATCCAGATGAAGTCCAATGCACCCGGCCCATGTTGAGGAAGTTTGTATGGAGCACGGCATCGATATATGCTAGTGCAGTAGCACTAAGGGACTGGAGAGATGAGGAGGTACCAACAGTGCATAAATTTGCTCACTGACTACAACAATGCAAAGAAAGTCTCTCTTCCTTCCTTGTTATGGCTGTGGAGAAATTATCTCAAGAATTCCAGCAATTTAAAGAGGACATGTCCTACTCCCCACCTGCACAGACTAGAATCTTGGCTATTAGGAGCGGTCATTTCTCTACTCGAGAGAACTGGTATAGACTACGGGGGGCTGTGGGATCGCCTGTGTGACCATGGAGAAGACATGAAGAAATGGGATAGAAAAACTACCTACCTCCCAGAAGAGCAGGTATGTGAGTTGGAAGGAAGAGTGAGTACAAAACGGGGTTCTTTTAGGAGAAATGCTGCTCCATTTCCAGTTTCAAGTGCCCAAACAGATTAGAAAGGTCGACTTTGTTCATGATCCTATGAGGAAAACTTCTGATTTGTATTCACAAGAAGTGAGTGATCAAGATGAGGCTGAAACCTGTGCGCACCACACTGACCCATTTGTCTATAGCAGGTAATATGATCAACATTAGAGGGGCTCTGCCTCCAGCCAGGTAGGGGACAGGGACAATCGAATTTATTGGCCCACGTGGATTCGATGGCCTGGCACATCTGACCCCCAGCAGTGTAAGGCTTCAGTGGACACTAATGCTCAATGCACCCTTATGCCACCATATTTTAAAGGGGCAGAACCCATTTGTATTTCAGGAGTGTCAGGGAGTCTCAACAGTTGATTGTATTGGAGGCCGAGGTGACCCTAAGTGGAAAAGAGTGGGAAAAACACCCCGTTGTGACTGGCCCAGACGCTCCATGTATTCTTGTTAGAGATTATCTCAGAAGAGGGTGTTTTAAGGACCCAAAAGAGTATTGGTGGGCTTTTGGTATAGCTGCCTTGGAAACAGAAGGGATTAAACAGCTGTCTGTGTTGCCTGGTCTCTCAGAGGATCCTTCTGTTGTGGGATTGCTGAGGGCTGAAGAACAACGAGTGCCAACTGCCACTATAGCCATGCACCAGCAGCAATACCGCACCAACTGAGAAGCTGTAATCCCTATCCATAAACTGATTCATCAACTAGAGAGCCAAGGAGTTATCAGCAAGAGGTGCTTCCCCGTTGACATCCCCATATGGCCAGTGCGAAAGTCTAATGGAAATTGAAGATTGACAGTGGACTATCATGGCTTGAATGAATTCACACCACTGCTGAATGCTGCCGTGCCAGACATGCTAAAACTTCAGTATGAACTTGATGCAAAGGCAGCCAATTGCTATGCCACGACTGATATTGCCAATGCATTTTTCTCCATCACTCTGTCAGCAGAATGCAGGCCACAGTTTGCTTTTACCTGGAGGGGTGTCCAATACACCTGGAATTGACTGCCCCCGGGGTGGAAACACAGCCCCATGCTGGGCACCGAAAAGGACTGTCATGGTTTGAACTCAGTCAGTAGCCAATCACCACTCAGCCAATCACTTACTTCTTTTCCCCCCTTTCTGCTAAAATATGGGAGGGACAATAAAGGAACAATTCATAAAATGAATTTTAAAAAAAGATCACATGATATGGAATAGTCCAGTGGCCAACCTGGGCCTGGCCCTTCAGCTGTACTCTCTCCCAGCCCAAGGAAATTTTACTCTATCCTTGCCAAAACTAGTACAGTCAGCCACTCAGCCATGAGCAAATATGCTGAGGGTACATTTTGCCCCATCTTCCAGGTCAGTAAGGATGATGTTGAACAGGATTGGACCCAGTATTGACCCCTGGAGTTCACCACTAGTTACTAGCCTCCAAATGGACTTTGATCTGTTGATTTCTACCCTCTGGGCATAGCCAGATACTGTGTCTTCTTCACTCTCCTTGATGAGTTAAAACAAAGGAAAATAAATGAATAAATTTATTTGAACATATCCTTCTCTTATATTGGTAGGATGGTACGTATGGTACTTTTTCAGTACAGTCTTACAATTTTACATAGACAGATATTCAGTAGTATAAATGCAAATGTGTAAAGCTAAATATTTGTAATAGAAAGGGGTAAAAACATAGATGTACAGTTCAGTGTGTCAGAATATTTTCTTGCAATTATTCTGATGGAAGAAAATAATGTAACAACTGTAGGAAAATCATTAGAAAATAAGATAGAAAAATGGAAAAAAAAATGGTTCTGTTGTCTAAGGTAAAGTCTTTTTTGTTCCCTCCTTTTCATTAGTCCGTCTATATCTTTGTTGTGAATAACTTCACAGACTGTACTATGCCAACTATTTTACTCTGTCCTCTGAAGAAAAGATAAAATAAACTATGGATTTTCTCCTAAAGACTGTTCCTTAATCAGAAGATCAGAAGAATATTATCTCATTTGTTTATCCTCTATCTTTTGCTCCTTTCCTCAACAGAAGAAATGAAAGTCTGAGGTTCAATATACTGTATACAATATACTGATATATACAGTATTCAATATACAATATACTGATATATATCCCTTATATATTTATATATGAAAATTCAAATCCCAAATTCCCACAAAAATGCCTTTTGGCATATTTGGTATATTTGGCATATTCGGATATGGAATGTGTAATAGAACAGTTCAGATAATTTTTGTGAATATTCTCCTTTCTATGTGAAGCAGTTAAACATCACATATAGAAATTATCAAAAGTTGGATTTTTTTTTTTTCTTTTTTTTTTTTTTTTCCTGATTGCCTCACTGCCTCTTCCTCTCAATCAAAATGCTGTAACCCTGGCTGAATGTGCAGTGACTGACACACCCAGAGGTGTGTCAGTCACTACATGCACTACATGCATATGTAGTGCACTACATGCATATGTAGTCAGATAATGAAGGCAGACACAATCATGTGTTAGGCAGTCCCTTTCTTTTGGTCATGTGATAGAAAATAAGTTTGTCATTATCATATGAAGTGTTATTTCATAAAAACAAACAAAAGCTTGGGGGAATTAATGTGTTTGTTTGCTATGAGAATCATTGCCAGAATAAATGGCTGAAGAACAACAACAACCAAAAAAAAGTGCTAAATATGTGATGAAACATAACACTAAATTATAAAAAAATTATGTGAAAACTTTCCAGGGACTGGCTGACTAAAAAGGTGAAGAGCCAAATGACTGGTATTGCTCAAGGATATCAAGCTGGTGGAATGCTGAATCTGCAAATAAAGGTGAAAGGAGAAGCAAAAATAATCCTGCAACTCAGATCATATCTAAAGGGCAGAGAGGTGGGAGGAAGCTGCTTGTTTGAGCAAACAAAGGCTTTAGAATTATATGCAAGGTGAACAGAAACAAAACCTTATGAGAACACTCTTCCAACACTTAGAAGCAACTGATGTGTGTGTACAAATTCTAATCATATAATTGGGACAGGACTCCCAATTACTGCTGCAACTCTGTAACTAGGAATGAGTAACTTGTGTATGGATGGCTATGTGTGGTTTTGTCTGTGTGTGTTTATATTTATAAACTACAGAAAGGCTTTTGAAAATTTTGTTGATGGATCATGTCACACTAGAAGACAACATGATATTTTGATTTCTGCAACAAATAACTTGATCACATGAAGGGGATGATACACACAGATTGGTAGGCTTTGCATAACCAGCTGGGCAATGTTGTTTTGGTGTACCATAGACACATGATAAAAGAAGAATTCCATGTGAAGCCACAGGTAGTACTTGCTGTCTAACACCGAATCTCATTTTAAGATTAAATGAATCATGCTCTGAAGGTACCTATGTGCCTTTATTGGTTATGTAAGGAGACACTTGCTTAATCTAGGTGCTTAATTTTCAGACAATTGTCAAGTGGTATGAATCCTACCCCAAATGCTTGAGGTACAGAAGTGATATGCCTTCACAGGTTTCCACCGTGACACTCTCAAGAGAGATGAAAGTTGAAGGAAGATTTTGTTTCAGCCTAAATCCCAGTGTACTTAATACTTATTTTTGGATCTTGTGTTACTTCTTTCCATGATGTAAGAAATATCGATTCTTACAGTCTTCAGTCTTCTATGTTTTGCTGAACGTTATACTCTTCAGTTACACAGCATGGTACAGCAGTTTGCATTGTGTATGTTTTCTTACTGTAAGATTGTGGTGAAGACATTTAATTCCTGCTTTCATAATAAATTGGTTTCAATACATTAATTTAAATCCGTTGGGATCTATTTGACAACGAATTGAGTTTTTGTTGGAAAGAATTTCACGTACCTTGTGGAGTTGTTTTGGACTTTGATTTTAAACTTTGTGTCAAAGCACCAAGTGGTGTGTTTTCAGTCTTTTCCAGAACAGTCTAAGAAATGGTCACTTTTACCATAAGTGCTTACTATTTGCAACATATCCTCCAGTGTGGATGCATCTGAAAATTGGATGTAATAAGGTTTATTTAGGTAATGACATTTTGCTTGAGCATCATCTACATAAACTGCAGATGTCTGTGTCTCAATTTGTCACCTTCAGCTCTCCTGAATAGTTAATGGAAGGAACTCATATCATTTTAGTTATATATAGTTACGAACTAAAAAAATAATACATATTTCATATCCATTTAATCATTGGACATTATCATTGTGTGTTATTTATGTATTTTATATACATATTATAATAAATGGTAGCATTACTGTCCAATTCAAGCTACAGCGGCAATCTCAGAACATGAACTCCCTTAACAATATGGGTACAAGGCATGAATCTCAAAAATATGTTTTGCCCTAGAGATCACAGTGGGAGAAGATGCTGCTAACACTGCCATTTCGCCATCTGCATTCTGTCCCTGGTTCTGCAGTTGTTGCCAAACACATTTCCATGTATATTACCAATGACTATGGCTTTGCATTTTTTAACTAGCAGTCATTTTCTTCTTTTTACACAATAGCTTAACTGTTCCTGCCTGGTTTCCTGTAGCAGCTGCCCCAGCATCTTCTCTAAATGCCAAGACTAATTCAAAACAGAGTGGTTTCTACTTCTTATTCCTTTTCTTTTTTTTTTTTTTTTTTTCCATTTACATAGATCTGAGCACAAGAACATGATGTTCCAGTTTGCTCACTTCCCACATACGAAAAAATAAGGAAACGTTTGTCTTTACAGATTGTTTGCTTTTCTTCATACTAGATGCAAGGAAAATGTAATACACCCACAAGCATATGCACATACACTGTCACCTTGGAGATTCAGTATTGTAAGTGGGAGAGCAATCATGTACTGAAATCCAAATGCACTCGGCCAGGGCCACTCTGACATTTTAAGTGTACATATTACTATTAATTACATGGGCTTTATGAATTCCTGTATCATCTTCTTTCCACTGAAACTGGATGAAGGGAACCATATGGCCCTTTCACATCCTATAAGAGAGATTCAGAATGAAATAAACAGTGGGAAACTTGCCCTTTATTTTTTTCAGCATTTGTCTCTATAAGGTTTTGAGCTATCATGGAGCACATTAGTGGTTCATTGGGTCCCCTATGTGTTCTCACTTGTTTTTCCTTCAACTATCAAAAGGGAGAGCCTTAACAGAAGAATAATGACAAAGTCACAACACTTCAGAGATAGGAAGCAAACAGGGTGGGGAGAAGCAGAGGCAGCAGAAGCAGCATGGGCAAAACTTGCTAGAGGTAACTGCTTACTGAAACCACCCGTACATGACACAGTCCTAAACACTGGGAAAATTATCATCTCTGCCAGGATTTCTTTCAAAGACATAACTCCATTTTCATCTATAAAAATAAATTCCTGACACTTCCTAGCCCCGAGTTCAGATTACTCAAGCAGTCCATTATTAAACTCTCTTACTCTGCAAAACAAGATAGCACAGCAGCAACCCTTTAAACAGTAGTCTCCATCCTCTGTTAAATCCTGAACTACTCCCAGAGGGATGTTTGGGACAATGCATGTTAGCATGAGCTAAATATGTTCTACGGCTCTTTTCCAGTGATATAATTAGACAAAGAGTAGCCTTGCAATCCTAGAAACTGCCTGTCAGTCTTCAATTTATTAGAATCTAGATAGGTTTTATTTTACTTTATCACATGGGTGTAGCATATGAATCAGGTCTATTGTAGTCCTATGGGTAAATGTAATTTTGCCTTATAGCTCACTATATATCTATGCCAACATAGTGCTATGCAAAGTTAGTACAGTGTTACACAGAGAGGCTCAGTTTCTGAAATAATTCAACTATAGGACCTAAATAAGAAAAGACTGTGATATCTTTAGATCATACTGAGAGCGTATATGCTATTTATGTTTATGTTTACCTTGACTTTAGTAAGGCCTGTGGCACTGTTTCTCATAGCATTCTCCTGGTGAAACTGGCTGCTTATGTGGCCAGCAGGGACAGGGAAGGGATCTGACCCCTGTCCTCGGCACTGGTGAGGCCGCCCCTCGATTCCTGTGTTCAGTTTTGGGCCCCTCACTACGGAAAGGACATTGAATGACTCGAGCGTGTCCAGAGAAGGGCAACGGAGCTGGTGCAGGGTCTGGAGCACAGGTCGTATGAGGAGCAGCCGAGGGAACTGGGGGTGTTTAGTCTGGAGAAGAGGAGGCTGAGGGGAGACCTCATCGCCCTCTGCAGCTACCTGAAAGGAGGTTGCAGAGACCTGGGGATGAGTCTCTTTAGCCTAGTAGAAAGGACAATAGGGAATGGCCTCAAGTTGCCCCAGGGAAAGTTCAGACTGGATATTAGGAAGTATTTCTTTACAGAAGGGGTTGTTAGGTGTTGGAATGTGCTGCCCAGGGAGGTGGTGGAATCCCCACCCCTGGAGGTGTTTAAGAGTTGGGTCGACATAGCGCTGAGGGATCTGGGGGAGTTGGGAACTGTCAGTGCTAGGTTAATGTTTGGACTGGATGATCTTCAAGTTCTTTTCCTACCTAGACAATTCTGTGATTCTGTGATTTAGTCTGAGCTCGTTATCTAAGCCAAAAACCAGAACTAGAGCTGCAGTTGTGTGCCAGAACCTGACCTGTTTGTCCAAGGCCCTCTTCTGAACTCTGCAGATGTACTACCTCAGTAGACCAAGGGAATCTCTGTACTGCTGTGTGTAACAGGAATTCTTTCTGACCTCTACAGCTCCAAATTTGCATTACAACCTGTACATGGAAGGATAGTGTATATTGTTTTCTACAATATACTATATAATATACTCTAATAGTATATTATTCTCTGTTAAGCGTGCTTTTCTTTCTTTCTTTCTTTCTTTCTTTCTTTCTTTCTTTCTTTCTTTCTTTCTTTCTTTCTTTCTTTCTTTCTTTCTTTCTTTCTTTCTTTCTTTCTTTCTTTCTTTCTTTCTCACTTTCTTTCTTTCTCACTTTCTTTCTTTCTCACTTTCTCTCTCTCTTCCTTCCTTCCTTCCTTTTTTTCCTTTCTTTCATTTCTTTCTTTTTAATTTTATAAATCAATAAATAAATAAAAGGTCTTTGTTAATAGGCTACAAGCTAATTCTCTAAAAAAGTACAGTATTTTGTGAGGGACAACAATATTTTATTGGTGAAAAATGGGAAAATAAATTTTGAAACATTGTTTTTCATCCATTTACACTCCTGAAGAATGCACGTGATCCTGAAAAATGTCTTCTTTCTTAAAAAATATACTTTTCAGTAATTTACTGATAATGTTTACTTAAAACAGCCCATTAGTAACATGATGATTAATTTATTTCCAGCAAATATGTGGGACTCATGGTAGGAGTGAAAACGGGGATACACTTGTTTTTAATCAAAATAATTTGATGCTTAAACTGTATTCAGAGAATTGATATATTCTATTTTTTAAAAACTAATTTCTGATCAACTGTAAACAGACATAGAGAACAGTTGATTGAAATGTAACATTCAAGTTTTTTTCATTAGGGAAATAAGATATTTATCAAGTCTGCATATACATCATACATATTAATAATAAAATTTTCTGTCTTGTTTTTGCAGTGACAACACTCACAAATGTATCATTAAGTGATATTTAAGGTACAGATGTTTACAGAAATGCCACGTATATTCTTATACTTTAGGCTCATCTAGAATTTTCCATCATATTATCAGGCTAGTCAAAAAAGTTTTAATAAGTATTCAAGACTTTACCTACTAATACTGATTTATTTTTAATCATGTTCCCTGTTCCAGTATTTAAACACACTGCTCTTTGGTTGATTAATTGATTGTTATCATTCTTCAAGAGGTTTCTTGATCACAGAATCCTTAATTTCATTTTTGAATATGGTACCTTTATATAGTCTTCTACTGCCTTACTCATAAGACAACATCTTTTTTTGCCTAGTTGTCTTTCACAGAGTAGTACACTAGACCCTTGTAAATTCACAGAAAACAGATAGACTGAAAAACAATATACTGCATAATAATATAAAGATTTGAGACAGAGATTTCTTTACTAACTCTCCTTATGGTGCTGCCATCCACTTATAATATGGCTATCACATTAAAAATATAACGCCATAGTGCAACAAATGCAAAAATTTCCCCACATTTGGCCAAAATTATATTGCACAAAAATTCTTTTCATGCACATATTATAAAAGAGAGTTATTTTACATGGAATGTATTCAGAAATATTCAGATATTTAGTGTTCTTAGATTATTTTTTTTTTAAGAAGAAACTTTTTTGTTTTTTATCTAGCGATATTATAGAAAAATAGATCACAGAGCAAGAAGACGACTTGCAAACACATCTAACTTTGGAAAGAAAACCTATTATTTAATTAAATGGCTATATATGCATTTATGACAAACCCAACAAAACACAATATATAATATAGAAAATTAGGCTGAGCCCTTACTATTTTATTTCATTTAAAAGCATGTCATGAAAGTTTTATAAATAATAAGAGAGAGACTTGGAACTAATTAGTTCAGGTACTACAATTAACTTAATTATTTTCTATGATTATAAGGTAGGCATACCAGCTTTATTAAATTTGGCATTAGAAGATGTCATTTTCAAGGTTTCAAAACATTTTCCATCTTGAAAGTGTTATTAAGGACACATTTTGTGAGAAGGGTAATTTGTTATAATTTGTTATATGTAAACTAGAGGATCAGTAAACTCAGAGGACTGTTTCATCTATATAGTTTGTCACATCTGACAGGTGAAAGTTCTGAAGTAGAGTTGTCCTCTTTCTCTTTGTAAGAATAAAGTAAGGTCAACGGAGATTGAATGGTAGGAGCAGAGGAGTATAAAAAAGCAGGACTGGCACATCAGAAGTCTTCCAGTCCAAAGCTGGAGCAATTGTCCATCTTTCCCTCACTGTACAGACATGGCATTCAAGTATCTCCCAAGTAATTTTGATGCCATGATTTTTCTAACAGGCAAATTTTAAGAATGTGGTCTAATTTATTCTTTTGCGATGATTGGAAAGTAAGTTTTGTCTTTGTCTAATTTAACACTGAGGAGAGCTGGGATCTAAATTATCTGATAATGTACATCGGTAAACTGTTGTTAAGGTCATTGACCAAAGATGTATGGAAATCCAGTAAAAGCTCCAAGGGACAATTTACCACCAGGAGAAATTCCAACCTACAGTTTATGTTATAGTATTACCTTTTTCACTCTTCAACATCTGCTGTGCTTTCAAATTTGCACATAGAATACAGAGTTTATTGATTGAGAAGAACTCAACAACCTTACAGAATTACTTACTTTGCATAGTTAATGCAGAGAAAATAAGAGCAACATAATGAAAACAAATTTAAGCTTAAGAACAGTCTCTTGTCTGTAATTTACAATACATTCTTTTCACTTAGAGTGACATACCAAGTCTTAGAAGCATATATTGTAGACTATAGGAAAGAACTGGCTTCATGGCATAGTAGGAGTGTAATTTTTGATAAAAGCATTTGGATGAAGAGAGTTTATTTTCTAACCTAATGTTAAAGGATATGTCCAGTCAAAATAGAAAATTATATGGATGAGATTACTCAACAACCAAATTATACTTCTACTTTTAATTTGCCAATAAATATAGAACTTTCACAGAAGATTATATGAACTTACAATTTTCTACTCACTTTCTTTTTCATTTTCACTTCCTTTTTTCTATTTCTATTTCCTATTTTCTATTCTTATTTCTATTTCCTTCACTAGTCTAGATCACATTGTTTAAAAGTCCTGATTGGTTCTGAAATATACATCCGTAAAGAGGCAATTTCAAGTTATTGAAAGGAAAGAGGAATTTTTCCAGGATTTTTTTTTTTTTCCCCCATGTTAAGAAGATGAACTTCAAGTAGCTATTTCCATCAGAATTTTCTCCAGTGAGAAGAAAGCATTAGCTGACTTCTAAGAAATTACTGTCTCTATATCTTTAGGAATGTAGGCATACTACACACCACAAAGGTTTCAGGAAAAAAAAAAAAAAAAAAGATAATTTTGATCAAATTTAAGCATTTGCTTATCTTACATTAGTAGAATAATTAGAGAGATTTCTGAAGAAATTAGTGTATGTTCCAAAACATTTACCTGATCAGGAGTATTTATTTATTTAATAATTTTAAATTTTTTTGTGTGTTTTACCATTCAGCCCATTTTGCAATGTCCTAAATCTAGAAATTATTTCAAATGAACACATAAATACAGATGTAACATATGACAGAATTTGTTATTCAGTACTACTGAAACTGCCTGTTCACAGGTCTGGTTCCTCTCCTTTTTTCTGAGCCTGGTTCTTGTGTCCAGTCTGTAAAAAGAACTTTACTAGAGAACATATTTTTAACAAAATCTGTGGTTTTATATTTTAGAGTGTTTTTCAATTAATTCTGAATAATAATTATATATTAAAAATAATTTCATCATTTCTTACTGATTTAAGCTGTTCTATAGCTCTGTACAAACAATCATGTTGGAAAATAAGAGAAAACTGAAATATAACAAATATGTAAGTCTTTGGTATTTCTGTACAAACTTTGTTCTTGAGTTACAGGCAATGAACCCTCCTTGTTTAATAAATGCATCCTGGTTTTATACACAAATTGAAACTACTTACTTAATGTAACAAACCCCATTTTTTTTTTACTGTTTTGTACTGTGGTCTAAGTTTAACAAAGCTCTTAGGGGCATAAAGTATCATTTAGTTGCAACAGGAGATAAACATCTAGAAATCAATGCAAGAAAACATCTCTTTATAGCATTTCCTTTTGTCTGGGTTAAACATCACAGTGCCTCAAGCATTATTTGTTCAGCATGCTCAATTCTTACATCAGCATTGTGAGTTATCTTAGAGCTCTCGGAGTAAATTTTAGTTACTGCTGGCTGTTGAAGCTTCAAGTCCCCTAGTGGAGCTGGGCCTATTTGACTAACTAGACTGAACTAAGCTGACAGTGTCTTCTTGTGAAAGAAACATATTCCCTGTTAAAGAACTGCAAAGGTCCTTTTCATTCCAGTGACAGTGCTCCTGATGGAATGATAGCTTTCAAATTCAAGCGAATTAGCAGTCTGCTGCTAAACTCAAATTATTTTGATGCAAGAATATACAACTGTTAAAAATACTGTAAGACTTCTGACGGGTGGAAGCAGGATTTTCCCTTCAAAGTATATTAGACAGGCATGAAGTTTAATGTACATATTAAAACTTTAATGTTTGTATAAAAAATATTACGTAGAATTACAGAAGCAAACAAAAGATCCATAACATGGCAAGTGTAAAACAAAACCCACTAGGTCAGGATTTATATTTGTGTAAAACATAATCATTCTATTCTATTAACATTCATTTTAAATTAGCCGAATTTCAAAGATTTCTAAAAATATTTTTTTCTTAAGACAAACAGAAACACAAATAAAATTAATACTTCTCACTCAGAAATGACACTTCAACATTAATAAACTAAATCCATGTTGAATATATAGCTATAAATACATTAATAACTATTACATGCATAGATGCACATGTGCAAATATAGTAATTTTCTTTAAAATTTTAGTTACCTCTTTTACTTTATTAAGCAGTGCTATAAATATCTGAAAAAAATGCTGAAAAAAAAAGGTCAGGTTTTAAATAGTTCTAGAAACTACAACTGTGGGGCCAGCTGATCAAAATAAATATGATTTGGTTTTCTTTTTTTTTTTTTTTTTCTTCAAAACAAGGACTGGCATTCTTTTCACTTAACTGCAGGACTTTAATACTTTCCCAATACTGAAGATGAAATTCAAATAACCAAATACACGTTCCCTGTAGCTGGTCACACTGGTCTTCATAGTCAGTAGACAAAAAATATTTGGTAGGGTGGGGGAAGGAGAATAAGCTCTTAAAGTATGAGTCACCTGATCTTTTCATAGTACTTAAACTGAGATAAAAGGAAACATATCTTAGAAATTATGTGTTTCCCTCCATTGTGTGGGACTATGAGGACTGGGAAATAATCAAATTCAGATCAATGCGGTGGATAAGTTCATAATTCAATCTTCCTCTGAAAATTCAAAAGGGAAAAAAACCCACACCTTATGTATGAAAACTTACTTATAAGGAAGAGAAATTATCATATTTACCGTCCAAGCAGACAGCACGTATTTGTTTTAGATTTATATGTCACACCTTGGCCACTTGTATTAAGGGAAGGTCAATTTCATCCATGACTACAATAAATTTAGCAATAATGCATTAATTACTTAAGTGCGAAGGCTTGGACAACTGACCCAAACCAGAGTTGACCTATAGATGAATCCTGTATATTTTATAATTGAAAACCATTGTGCTAGTAGGTATTGTACTAAGTTAACACTTATGCTGATGTAAAAAGTGCTAAAACATTGAAATACTGAAGCCTGAACAACAGGCCCCAAGCTGAAGCTGCTAACTCAGTCTGTAATCATTAACAAAGTATGTAAACTCACTAGTGAAAGACGGAGCCTAGACAAAATATAATCAGTAGTGTGGAGGGAATGTATCCGACTTTCTTTTCTCAGCCTTATTCAAGGCTGAGAACTCAAGTTTTCCCCCCCCCCCCCTCCCCCCAAGCCCTGCCAGGCTTTGGGTGGAATCCAACAGGAGAAAGAAACCAGAAATTTTCCTCTCAAAACAAAGGTGCCAGCTATTCTGGCTTGTCCATCTCTGGTATATAAGGCTGGACCCGCTCACAGGGACTTTGGAAGCCTCACCTATGGGTGGAGGCACCGCGTAGGATTTCCCACTTGCTGGGACAGGCTCTCCAAAACTAAAGGCAAGCAGATATGCTGATCAGCAGATAAGATGAACTTAAAAAGGCAGCAGAAAATTTTGCTCAGTGTGCATCCAACCATCGAAGCCAGACCTGTGTGCACCCACCACCGAAGAACTGAAGACTGAGGACCAACGGGACACCGCTGGATCCATGGTGGTGACTATTCTTTCATCCCTATCCCACATCCTTGCTTTATTTCTGTGTTTTCCTTCCATTCTGTCCTATTGCTACTCCTCTTCATGTTTTTAATAATAAAAACCTGTTTTGAGTATACAGCATTTGACCTCATTTGTGTCTTAATCTCACTCTTGGGATCGTATTGAAACCTCCCCCAACATTGGATGAGGACCAATACCTTTACAGAGAGATGGACAACACCTGCAGTTTTAAGACATAGAACATCTAATCTGAAGTAGACATCTGAAAACATCATAAATTATGTCATAAAGTATCCATTGATCTACGGTTGATAAACACCTATCCAGCTCACACAGATATTTTCATCAGAGATGTCTAAATTTAGGTGAGCTGTTCCTGTGAAACTTATAAATCAAATAAATAAATATTTAAAATTATGTTTCTTTTTCATTTCCATATATATAATGAAAAGTTATTATTCTTGAAACTTCCAGTCAGTCAGATTTCTAGAAAAATCTCCGTCCTCTCCACACATCAATAGAACTTTTGTGCAACTTATTATTGGAAAGGAAGGCAGTCATTCTTGGACCGGATCCCATCACTTCCTACCACAATTATAACTGCAAATATGTACTAGAAATCTTGTGTCTTTTTTAGCTTAAAGTAAGCACCACATTTTAAACATATTTAGGTGAAACTCATTTCAGTAATATTTCTCATTCTTCAGTTTACTCCAACCTTGCAACTATAGCTGTTCTCTTTGTATCAAGTTTATTTTGTACCAAGATTCACTTTCTACCAAGATTTCAACTGCCTCTTTCATTTTTTGTTTTGCTTCTTATCATCCCAAAGATTTTATTTATGTAGCAATTGCAGTACCTCAAGCACATATGCTTTGATTTGTTATTATCTTTATCATTTAGCCTTTCTCCAAATTAACAGGTCTCAGCACTGCTGGCACTGAGCATAGAAGAGATAGAAGAGCTCTCTGAGAAATTTTTTCCCTAGTCTGTTAATATATGGTAGCTTGTCTTCACTCCTCTGCCCTTCAAGATATATGGCTTATACTGTCAGATATAAATTAAGCTCACTATTTAATGCTCATTGTTTCAAAATAACAAATTATAATACACTCTGAGAATGCTGAGGGTGGGGTGGGGTGTGCAGGTATTTGCTTTGATCCATTTTGGGATCAAACCCAGAATAAAAGAAAAAAACAGCAACCTTGTTCTGAAGAGAAACTAAGAAAAAGATCCATCATAAATTACTTTTAGGTATCCTTCATCTGATGCTTATCATTATTGCATAAGGGACTGTAAGACAGAGAAGAGGAAGGTCACAGAATATCCATCTGAAGTGCTAAGGCATGGACAACAGGCCCAAGCCAGAGTTGACCTGTAGATGTATCCTGTATATTTTATAACTGGTAACCACTGTGCTAACAGGTATTCTACTAAGTTATAACAAACCACCTATTCTGATGTAAAAGGTGGAAGTGTTGAAGCCTGAGCAACAGGCCCTGAACCAAAACTGTTAGCTCAGTATGTAATCATTAGTGAAACATGCATGGAGGATGTAGCTATCCTAAATGTATCTTTCCCTTCCTTTGTATGTGAATAGAACAACAGAATCGTGGAGGCAGGTGTCTGTCCCTGAGACCTGATGTGAGATTGAAAATAGATATTTACACTTAAAACAAAGGTGGCAGCTATTCTGGCTTGCTGATTTTTAGGTATAGAAGGCTGGACCCGCTCACAGCGACTTTGGAAGCCTCACCTGTGGGTGGAGGCACAGCATAGGATTTCCCCCTTGCTGGGACAGGCTCTCCAAACCCTCGCTGTAACCGGGGCTGCCCAGCCACTGCGGGTCTGGGTGATGGACATGTATGCAAGTGGTGATGGAGCTTTCTTAATCACTATTCACTCTCTCTCTCTCAGGTAGTAATGATTTGATGCATTCCCTTGTATTTTTCTATTTGTTTAAGAGCACTATTCTGTCTTTTCTTACTGTATGTTTTCTGTATTATTCTGTTACATTATTTAGTTATTTCTAGTAAAATACACCTGCTCTTTTTACTCTGGTGTCCGAGTTTAACTGGTATCCCTGATCAGCAAAACACCATCCCACCATCTTTTACTTCTCCATGACCAGGAGGGTTTGGATTAAGGACTTTTCAAAGGTTAGAATGGTTTATAAAAGCATTATGGTCAAATAGTTGCTTAAATAGTTGTGATCAACAGTTTCGTGTCCAGGGGGAGACCAGTGATGAGTCATTCCTCAGGGGCCAGTATGGGACCGGAGCTGTTTAGTATCTTTGTCAGAGGCATGGACAATGGTAATGAGTTAACCCTCAGCAAGTCTGCCAATGACACCAAGCTGTGTGGTGGAGTCAACACACTGGAGAGAAGGGATGACATCTAGAGGAATCTTGACAGACTTGGGAGGTGGGACCAAGCAAACAACATGAAATTCAACAGGGCCAAGTGCAAGGTCCTGCACATGGGTTGGGGCAATCCCATGCACAAATACAGGCTGGGTGATGAGTGGATTGAGAGAAGCCCTTAGGAGAAGGACTTGGTGGACATGGTTGACAAGCTGCTCAACATGATGTGACAATGTGTGCTCGTAGCTCAGAAAGCCAACTGTATCCTGGGCTGCAACAAAAGAAATGTGACCAAAAAGAAGAGTGATCGAGGAAGGTGATTCTGCCCTTTGCTCTGCTCTCATGGGAGCCCATCTGGAGTACTGCATTTAGCTCTGGGGCCCCCTACATAAGAAAGACATGGACGTGTTGGAGGGAGTCCAAAGGAGGGCTAAAAATATGACTTGGCGGGTGGGGGTGGAGCTGTGGCACCTCTCCTGTGAAGACAGGCTGAGAGAGTTGGGGTCCTTCAGCCTGGAGAAGAGAGGGCTCTGGGGACACTTTGTAGGAGCCTCAGACTACTTAAAGGGGTCTTACAACACTGGGTAGGGACTTTTTACAAGGGAATGTAGTGTAGAATAAGAGGTAATGGCCTTAAACTGAAAGAGGATAGATTTAGATTAGATATAAGGGATAAATTCTTTCCTCTGAGGGTGGTGAGGCACTGAAACAAGTTTCCCAGAGAAGTGGTGGATGTCCACTCCCTGTAAGTGTTCAAGGCCATGTTGGATGGGGCTTTGAGCAGCTTGACCTAGTGGAAGGTGTCCCTGCCCATGGCAGGGGATGTTGGAATTAGGTGATCTTTAAGGTCCCTTTCAACTCAAACCATTCTTTGATTCTACGATTCTATGAAATCAGAGGGTTGTCACCTGCCACGTTATAGCATACATCAGCTATGAAATGGGGGGGGGGGGGGGATTAAAAAGCGCACCTTGATAATTTGATAGATGAAAACCAGGACTTTACAGTAATCCAATAAAATTTCTTGGGGCATTAAGATGTCAAATACAAAGAGCTGCTTCAATAAAACCAGGGCATATGGCCCCTGTGACATATTTAAAACATAACTGTGTCTTTAGAATAGATGGCTAATTTTATGATATACAACAAAGCTTAGTGACCATAAATGCAGAATACATTTTATTATACAACTTGGAGACATAATAAAAACTCTTCTCCCCCACCCCCTACTTAATGACAGGATTACTTGACAAAAGATTGTGCAAGAAAGTATTTTTTGTAAAGACTGTACAGTATTAGAAGACTAATTATTATGCAGCTCATGAGAAAAAATAATTATCTTGGCTTTCTCGAATTTGGATACTTCCAACACCTTTTTTTTTTTTTTTTTTTTTTTTCACTTTTTTGGGGGGAGCTTTAACTAGGAAAGAATTAGAAGATCAAGACCTCATTATCCATAAATTAACATTTCAGTAATTTTAATAGATGCAGAAACATTTATTATTTGACATATGACACAAATCCGAAGCAATTATATTACATTACAGTGCATCAGTGAAGGTGTGTATGAAATATCTTGCTAATGCCAGATCGAGCTCCTGTGCTCCCCTCCCAAAAAGGCACTGTTCAAATTGATTCAAATTCAAGTATCTATATCATTATATTAATGACCTGATACAAAAATAAACACATAGATATACATCTCCAGGTATTTATACATAGCCCCCCAAAACCCGTGAAATATAAAATAAAAATTACATTTTTTCCTTTACTTTTACTGCCCAAGTCCCTGTCAATTTCTAGTCATTAAATGCAGATTTTAAATGACCATTCCTGATGTAAAGCTCTACACATATGTCTAAAGCCTGAAGTTAATCCAATGTTTGCAGTTTTATCAAAGCTAACCACCTAGGTTTCTGCAGTCAATGGAAAGGGGCAGATACATTTCAAAGGCAAGTTACCATACAGTTACCTCAGGGCTGAATCAGATTGCCACCAGATAGTCCTACCAGCCTGTATTGACTAACCTAA